TCGTTCCCCTGGCACATTCACCTCTCCACTTAGCCACTTTCCTACCTACATACCTACAAGGTGATAACCCTGACTTTGTGGCCATCAATGAAAATCCAATTTCACGCTAGTCCTTTACTACTCCCCACCCCCCACCTTGGTGAAGGTGGACCAACATCTCATAGAATTAATAGAATTTTTGAGTGTACATTCATCAAGTAGCACATGTGAGTTTTCCCAAAGACTTTTACTATTACTTTTCTTCTTGTGAAGACTTTGAGGGAGTAAATTGATTAATTATGAATGTTGGGAAGATAAAATTTCTTTTTTAAAATACTGGAGTTTCCCTCTGTGTTTTTATTTTTTAAACTCTTATAAAAACTCCTTTAAATACCCATTAGTTCCATAACATGTTCTCATGTAACATAATTTTTACTGATGGCACCTTATCAAAGTCTCGAAATTTCATGCCTAGCAAGCATAGTACTATTAATGAAAATGGAATATTGTGCCAATATCAGTTAATGGCTAATTTTTTTAATTTTACTTAATACTGGTTTACATCCAAAGTTCATAAGACCATTAGTGGAGAAGATCTAAGGGGTGGGGAGCTTAATCATAGTGTCACGCAATGTATATGGGCTAATTTTTATATAGTAATTATTGTTTGGCTTCTGTGATTCCAAACACGTCAACTGCTGACATTTTTTTTCTTTTGGCCAGTGTCTCTTAAGTTTAGTTGTACTGTCTCCAAGGGAAGGTGGCGTGTCCTGTAGAACTCCTGTGTAGATTATGTTTTCCTTTCTGGCCCGAGGGCCTGCGGCGCTTGGGCCTGCCGGTTTTTCCTGGGTTTTACCTGAAAGACGCCTCTTTGCTGTTATTCGAGGTGACCTTCCCCAGTGCAGCTTCCTGTCCTCCCTCTCTGGCCGGTTTTTCCTGGGTTTTACCTGAAAGACGCCTCTTTGCTGTTATCCGAGGTGACCTTCCCCAGTGCAGCTTCCTGTCCTCCCTCTCTGGCCTGTTTTTCCTGAAAGATGCGTCTTTGCTGTTATCCAAGGTGACCTTCCCCAGTGCAGCTTCCTGTCCTCCCTCTCTGGCCGGTTTTTCCTGGGTTTTACCTGAAAGACACCTTCATAGTAAAAAATGTAATTTCTAGATCCATCTTGAAGTAAAACATCGTGAGTGACAGAATTATATCCATACGCTTACAAGGAAGTCCAGTGAATACCACTATCATTCAGATATATGCACCAACAACCAGAGCCAAAGAAGAAGAAATAGATGATTTCTACCAACTTTTACAGTCGGAGATAGATCGAACATGCAATCAAGATGCATTGATAATAATGGGTGACTGGAATGCAAAAATTGGGAACAGAGAAGAAGAATCAGTAGTCGGAAAACATGGGCTTGGTGACAGGAATGAGGCTGGAGATAGAATGATTGAATTTTGTAAAATCAATGACTTATTCATTGCAAATACATTTTATAAGAGACACAAAAGCAGGTTATATACATGGACTTCACCTGATGGTATGCATGGGAATCAGATCGACTACATCTGTGGAAGGAACCGCTGGAGAAGCTCAATATCAGCTGTGAAAACTAGGCTGGGGGCTGATTGTGGAACAGACCACCAATTACTCATATGTAAGTTCAAGCTGAAGCTGAGGAAAATTAAACCAAATCCACAGGAGCCAAAATATGACTTTGATTTCATACCACCTGAATTTCAGAATCATCTCAGGAACAGGTTTGAAGCCTTGAACACTAATGAGCGAAGACAGATGAGTTGTGGGAGGATGTCAAAGGTATCATCCAGGAAGAGCGCAAACGGTCATTACAAAGACAGAAGAGGAAGAAAAGACCAAAATGGATGTCAGAAGAGACACTGAAAATTGCACTGGAGCGTAGAGAAGCCAAAGCACACTCTCTATTGACGCCTTTGAGCTGTGGTGCTGGAGAAGAGTACTGAATGTACCATGGACTGCCAAGAAAACAAACAGATTCATCCTGGAAAGGGTTAAGCCAGGCTGCTCCTTGGAGGCAAGGATTCTGAGGCTTCATCTAACATACTTTGGATATGTTGTAAGAAGGGACCTGTCCTTGGAGAGGGACATCATGCTTATCAGGGTGGAGGGACGGCACAGGAGGGGAAGGCCCTCTATAAGGTGGATTGATTCAGTGACTGGGGTAATTGGGATGGGTGTGTCAGAGGCAGTGTGACTGGCACAGGATAGAGCAGAGTTTAGGGCTGTTGTACATAGGGTCGCTATGAGTTGCAAGTGACTCAACGGCAGATAACAACAACAACAAAAGGCAGAATATTTGCCTTTGTTGTTACTTAGACGCAGGAGAAGGATGGACAATCTCCTCAATGTGATTAACTGCCTCTGAAATCCTGCTGGAAGGTCAGCTATCGGTCATTTCTGACTTGATGGCACAAAACAACAACAGCAACACTCTATGGCATGAGGACAATGAATGGAAATTCATAAAAATATAACCCTCTGTGTATCGAAAACTTCCAATAGGGTGAAAAGAAAGCCTACAGACCAGGAAAAAGTATTTGATAAGGACATTTCTAAGAAGTGTTTAAAATTAAAATTTATAAAATCCTACAAGACATCCACAAGAAAAAGACTAATAACCCAATTAGCAAATCAAAAGAAGACATGAAAAGACTCTTCACAAAAGAAGACTTTCAGATGGCCAGGAAACATGTAAGGAAAAGTTCAGAATTGCTAGCAATTCAAGAGATGCAGATTAGAACCACAGTGAAACAGATGACGGAGAGAACTGTATATAAGGAATATATGATTAGGTATTATTGGCATAACAGGAATCCGGAATAAGAGCTGCACAGTAAAGTGGTCTGTGGAGGGGGGGACTGTAAAATAATCGAACTTTTTTTCCCAAAGAAAAAAAGAGAACTGGGGATAGGTGGACATGGCGGAAAATGTGCAACAATGAAGGAAGGAAATCCAAGTTCTTTATAAACTTTCATTAAAATCTTAAAAAAGAAAAAATATTTAAAAAATTTTATTTAAGCAAACAACAAAAAAAGAACCACAGTGAAATACTATCTTACCCAGCAGTAACAGCAAAGTCTAACAGGACAGCAAACAGTAAATGCTGGAAAGGATGTGGATCCTGGGGATCTTCTTCCAGATTGACAGGATGACTGATCACCTTCATTCTTTCCAGGTTCGCAGCACTCGTCCAACATGCTGTGGTGTCTTACCAGATGCTCTCTGTGTCCAAACAGAGAGGCACTTACGGACCTCAGGACAGTTTATGATCATTCACCTGAGTGTCCTCTACTGGAGTCATGTGAGGGTTCAATTTGGGATTCTTGCCACATTGACATCCAATGGATACTAGTTTGTGTGTCCAAATCAGGACCAATTTAGAGCTGACTTTACAGTGGATTCAAAGGAGTAGCTGGTGATTTCGAACCACTTTTCTAGAGACTGGCAGCCCAACTCCTTACCACTTGACCACCAGACCTTCCTCATAAGATTTACAGCCACCTGAACGCCTGATAAAATTCCATTAGGAGACAGTTATGATTCAAAGTTAATGAGTTCAGTTGAAGAGTTAATGGTCTCGTCAAATGGCTTTAAAAGCTAAGAACTGCTCTGTGCTAGAAGGACTCCCCTCACCCCTCTTCCTGCAAGTCCCTGAGGGCCTGGCTGTCCTGGTCTGTGCTCTGGTCTCAACTTGCTGGGCTGCATGACCCTCATGATGCTGCCTCTTAATAGTGTGCCCCTCCTTATCCCACCTCCTCTGTGACTAGGAGTCTCTAGCATATTCAAAGCCTGTGTCTTCAAAATGGATGTCCATCAGTGCCTTTGGAGCCCACGCCACACACAGAGTAAGATCTGCCTGCTCTAGAGGCTGTTCCCAACATACCTGCAGCTCCAGCAACAGTCTGTTTCTAAAGTGTCCATCATCCCATTTGCAAACTATCACAGATGTGCATCAGGTTAAGCTTTGGGCTCTGGTCCCCAGGAGGAGTTGCCCGACCTTGGTGAGTACCACCTGGCCCCAAGAGGGAGGAGCTGACTGACCCCTGGTGGGAGCCACCTAACCCCTTGAGGGAGAAGCCCTACTCCTGAGGAGAGCCACCTGTACCCTGTAAGGAGCCATCTGGCCCCTGGGGGAGCTGCCTTACCCTGGGGGCAGGGGAGCAGCCCTATCGCTGGCCTATGGGAGGACCCGCTGACCAATGGGGGGAGCCAACCTGCTCCTGGGGAGAGCCACCCAACCCCAGGGGGCAGTTGCCTTACCCCAGGAGAGAGCTGCCAGGCCCCTGGAGAGAGCCATTTGGTCCCTGGGGAAAGCCACCTGAAAGGGGAGAGCCACCTAGCCACAGAGAACCTGAAAATCAATCTTAGATGGAATTTAATATTTTACCCAGACCTGCATATTTTTCCAAAGTACCATAGTTACATGGAGCTTATTTTCAAAAGCAATAAAGGCGAAGAGGCACAACCTCAGATACATAATCCAAGTCCATGGGGAGAGTGTTCAGGGCATCTGGACACTGGTCATGCGTGGCCAGAATTCTCGAATAATGATGACTCACCTATAAAATGCCACTTCCAGTTCTGTTATGTCCATTTATTACTACAATAGTCCTGGATTAATACTAACCCAGGACCATTTTTAAGGTTCTTAAGTTTATTTTTAAATACAATTATCTTTGCATGATAAGGTTATAAAGGTATATTGGGGGTTGTGTAGGTTTAACTCAGCATAGCAGAAACATAATTGAGAGTCTGCACAGAATCAACAAGATCACAGAAATATTTAGCATTGCATAATAACAGTTTTTGTTAAGTACTTTCAAAAGCTATTTACTTGGCACCCAAAGTGCTTGATAAGAGAAGGGAAATTGACAACTTGATTTTTGTCTTGATCCTTTCTTGGAAACGAAAATGAAAAGCAAACCACTGTACTGAATCCCTCTACATGTAAACCGTTTGTTGTCTGTCACCAGGCACTCCTTTCTCACTTCACATTTTCACCAAAAACCGCGTGATGTCTGATCCATGCTTGAAAGTCTGTCTCCTCCCCTGGCTCCTCTCTCTGGCTTGTCTGGCAGTTCTCTAAAGTTAAAAATACACATGCACACATATGTTAAGGAAAAGCACACTTCATACTCGTTTAGTCTAGAAAAGATCTGCATTAACAACATTCATTGACCAGTGCCTCCCAGCCCCTGAGGCAGAGGCTAACAGCAGCTCAGCTCAGTACCCAGGACTGGCTGAGCTCACTGTGACAAGGATTTGGGGTATAGTAGAAATCCTAGGGGAAATCTACTGACCAGTGACATGTAAACTGGGAGGCCAGGGTTCTGCTCACCTGAGTGGAAGCTCATAAGGCATCTTAGGTTTCCCAGAGGCCCTCAGTGGACCTCAAACATCCATGTTGTTGTTGTTGTTATGTACCCTCGAGTCATTTGCGACTCATAGCGACCCTATGTACAACAGCCCTAAACTCTGCTCTATCCTGTGCCAATCACACTGCCTCTGACACACACATCCCGATTACCCCAGTCACTGAATCAATGAACCTCATAGAGGGTCTTCCCCTCCTGCCCTCGCTCCACTCTGCCCAGCATGATGTCCCTCTCCAAAGACCTGCCTCTCTTTACAACATGTCCAAAGTATGTCAGGCGAAGCCCCAGAATCCTTGCCTCCAAGGAGCAGCCTGGTTTAACCCTCTCCAGGATGAATCTATTTGTTTTCTTGGCAGTTCATGGTACATTCAGTACTCTTCTCCAGCACCACAGCTCAAAGGCGTCAATTCTCCTTCTATCCTCCCTAGTCATTGTCCAACTCTC